AAGAAATGGAATAGGAAGAAATGGAATAGGAAGAAATGGAATAGGAATAATAAATGAAACATAAATGAATAAAAATAAAGATAATAAAAAGGAAATTAAAAAAATAAATTAAATAAACTAAAACCAAATAAAAATTAAAAAGAAATAAAGAACAAATAAAAATAAATAAAACTATCCCTCCCCAGCTGGAGGGCGAGAGGGTTGGGAGGGTCCCCTCCGCTGATGCTGCGATGCTGTCAAACCCCCCCCGCCCCGCCGCGCCGGTACCTGTTTGCCGCGGTAGAAGAGGCGCTGCCGCTGGGGCTCCACGGCGAACACCTCGTGTATCCGCAGGCGCAGCTCCTCCACCTTGGTGAGCTTGGAGAGCGAGTCCACGCGGCGGGTCTCGGTGCCGTCCATGGTGCGCACCTGGATCCACATGGCGCCGGCGCTGCTCCCCCCGGGAATGCGGGACCCGCGCTCAGGCGGCGGCTCCGGGGGCGGCTCCCGCGGCCCCGCCGCCCTCCCGCGACGGCCGCCCGCCATTGGCCGCCGGCCCGGCCGGCCCGCGCGCTGATTGGCCGCCGCCGGGCGGGCCCCGCCCCCCCCCACGCGGGAGCCTAACGGCTCCGCTCGCGACTCGCGCGCCACAATTGAAACGCGCCCGCCGCGCCCACGCGCCGGGTCTCGCGAGATCATGTAAATGAGGGGAGGGGAGGGGACGGGGGGGGCAGCGCGTGCTCTTAAAGGGGCCGCCGCCCTCCGCCGGCGGGGCCGGGGGCAACACGGGCACCCCCAGGGGCCCCTCCGCCCACCCCACCCCACCCCACCCCACCCCACCCCACCCCACCCCACCCCGGCACGGCTCCCGCTTGGCTTCCCACCGCGGGAAAAGCCGGGCGGTGTCACCGGGGCGGCGGTGCCGGGTTTTGGGGGGTCTCGAGTGGCCGGAGGGTCCGGCGGATTCGCCGGGGTTTCGGGGGTCGTAAAGGGATTCCGGCGGACTCACCTGGGTGGCCGTGCTGGGATTTGGAGGGGGGGCTCCGGCGGACTCGCCGGGGTTTGGGGGGGTCTCGGGTGGGTGGGGGGTCCGGCGGACCCACGGGGGCGGCGGTGCCGGGGTTGGGGGGGTCCGGCGGACTCACCGGGGTTTGGGGGGTCCGGGTGAGTGGGGGGGTCCGGCGGACTCACCCCAGTGGCCGCGCTGGGGTTGGGGGGCTCTCGGGGGGGTCCCCGGTGGCGGAGCCGGTGCCGCCTGGCGGGGTTTGGGTGGTCTCGGGTGGGTGCGTGGGGGGTCCGGCGAACTCACGGGGGGGGCGGTGCCGGGGTTTGGGGGGGTTTCAGGGGCGTCCCCGGTGGCGGTGCCGGGGTTGGGGGGGGTCTCGGAGGAGGGGTCCCGGCGGACTCACCGGGGCGGCGGTGCCGGGGTTGGGGGGGTCCCGGGGGGGGTCCCCGGTGTCGGTGCTGGAGCCGGTGCCGCCCGCGCTCTCCCGCGGGCTTTGGAGTTTGGCGCGGAAAAGCCCCGTGCGCGCCCCGCGCGCGCCCATTGGCCGCCGGTGGCGGGAACGCGCGCGCGGGGCGGGGCCGCCGAACCCCCCCCCGGGTTTGGAAGTGGAGGGGGGGAAGGAGGGGAACGGGACCGAGACCGAGAAAACCCCCGCTGGAACCGGCGCTCTTGGGGGCGGCAGCGGGGATCGCCCAGCCAGCGACATGGCTCGTGACTCACTGCGCGGGGGGGAAACCCCCCCCAAATTGCCAAGGCAACAGGATCCATCACCCCTCCTTGTCCTAAAGTGTCCATTTATTGTCCTAAAAACCGGCCCCCGCAGAGCCCCAGTGGGAGAGGGGACCCCAATGACTCCCCTCTGAGTGCACCCCACCCGAGGGGTCCCACCCCCCCACCCCGGGGAGGGCTCCAGGCCCTACCGACCCCTCTGGGGGGGCTCCAGGCCCTACGTGATGCGAATAATCCGAATAACCGGAATGATGCGAATAAACCGAATAATGCGAATAATCGGAATAATCCAAAGAATCCGCAAAAGGGCTCTAACTTCCCAGGCCAAGAGCTCCAAGGGGGGGCTTCTGGGGCTGGTATAGGGTCCTGCTCGGGGAAAATGTGGCCTGGGTGACAAGCAGGGCCTGGGTGACACTGCAGGGCCGTGGTATGGCCACGTGAGCCGCCAGAAAGGGCTGGTCCAGGAGGACGTTTGTCCCCAAAACTGATGCCACGAGGAAATCAGAGATGAAAATGTTCTGCTTAAAACACCCATTGGATGGGGCAAGAGGTCCCTGAGAGGAAAGATAGAAGGGATAAAAGCAGGAAAATTGGTGGTTGGGGGGGGGGAGAGACGCCGGGGTGGGGACGCGGGAATGGCGCTGCCGGAACAGCTCCGGGAGCCGCCGGCCGGACAAAGGGAACACGTGGAAGGCAAACACAGAGCCGTGTTTCCCGTGTTCTGCCCCCCCCAGCGTGCCCACAGAGCTCACCTTGGGCGCTAAAAATATGGAAAATCAGCAGGATGTGGAGCCTTCCCAGCCCCGGGTTTGCCGGCGGCGCCTCTGCCGCGCTCCGCCGCTTTCCTGGGATCTGCCGGGGATCCCATGGACGAGCCACGGAGCACGGGTTGGGAGTCACTGGCCTAGATGAGATCAGTGCTGAAGGTTTGGTGTCAGTGCACAAAGCTTTGGTTCTGACCTGCGACCTGCAGCAGTCAGGCTTCATTTCCTCCCACAGCCCAAGGCTTTGCCTTCCCAGAAAGTCACTTTTATCCCTTGTAGATGCTCTGGAGGCTTAACCTTGACCTACCACAGCCTGAGAGGGCTCTCGGATGTTACAGACCTGGCAGGGAGGAATTCCTTCCCAATATCCCATCTGACCCTGCCCTCTGGCAGTGGGAAGCCATTCCTCCTTGTCCTATCTCTCCAGGCCCTTGTCCCCAGTCCCTCTCCAGCTCTCCTGGAGCCCCTTGAGGCACTGCAAGGGGCTCTCAGGTCTCCCTGGAGCCTTCTCCAGGTGAGCACCCCCAGCTCTCCCAGCCTGGCTGCAGAGCAGAGGGGCTCCAGCCCTTGGAGCAGCTCTGTGGCCTCCTCTGGACTCACTCCAGCAGCTCCACATCCTTATTTTGGGATCCCAGAGCTGGAGGCAGCACTGCAGGTGGGGTCTCACCAGAGACCCCCACTAGGGTCCCATCTCATGCCCATTTAAGAACCACACACCATGTGTGTCATCCCCACACGGCTTCCTTCCCATCCCAGCAGGGGAACAGGATCTTAATCTAAGACATGGACTGTTCATGGAAAGACCTCCCACAAGTTCTAAGGAAAAGAGCATCCCTGGAACCATCAGAGCCAGGAAACAAGCAGCCCCCACTTTCTAGAGAAGCTTTTACTCATTCAGTGAATCCCCACACAGCAAACACGGTGCTGCATCCTACACACTCTTCAGCTGGGGCCCCAAATCACTTAAATTAAGGTTCAATGAAACTTAAAATATGACTGAATTCTAGATCATTTTAGTAGTGGAACATTGATTTCATTAGGGGTTAAATTATTTATGCTCTGCTCTTAAGGTCCCCTCTTCTACTAAAGCTGGAGTAGCTTAACCAGAACTCAGTGAGATAAAGCCCTGGGAGGATCAGGTGTCCACAAACTGTCAGAATAAGGAATATGACTTGGTTGTAATGCAGTGATGGGTTTTGTTTTCCTCCCTTTTGGACTCTTTTAGGCCTTTCTTTCCTTTGGAGTTCCAATTCTGACTGAAAACACTGTTTTGCCACCTGTTATGAGGAAACAATATGAATTCTGCCAGCAGGGACACCCAGTTCAGTTCAGAGAAACTTAATGAATTGTTGAATTCATTTCTAAAGAGATGCACTTAGCAGGACAAAGTCCTGACAGGCTCCCAGGCCATGGGACTATTGCTCAAAGTGAAGTTTTGTCACAATGTTTTAGGAGAAACCAAAGTCCAGGCCTGTACATGAGAACCACCAGCTGATTAAAACAAGTCTTGGGTGAAGAAGAATTATAATAATAGTAATGATAATAATTTTAGTGAAAAGGAGAAAGGGAGGAATGAAACCCAAGAGAAACAAGAGCTGCACAACAGTTGCTCAGCACCCACTGACTCGTCCCACAGCAGAGGGGTTGACCCCAATTGGCCCCTTCCCAGTTTCTCTGCTGGGCAGGGTGTTCATGGAATGGAATATCCCTCAGTTGTCCTGGCTGTGCTCCCCCCCCAGCTCCTTGAGCTCCTGCTCCCTGGCAGAGCCTGGAAAACTGAGAATTCCTTGACTCAGAGTAAGCACAACTCAGCAACAACCACAACATCGGTGTGTTATCAGCATTGCTCCCATACTAAATCCAAAACACAGCTACTGGGAGGAAAATTAACTCTATTCCAGCCAAAACCAGGACACAGGTACTGACATTTATGCTTTTACAAACACATATTCCTTGCATAGCTGTTCCCAAGGCCAAGGGATGATTCAGTCCTGTCACATGGAGCACAGCAAGAAACCTTCCCCCAGGGGAAGCAGTGGGGCCACAGGAAAGGGGGAGCAGTGCAGGTGTGTTCCAGTTCCCACATGTTTTCTGGGGTGATCCAGAGTCCAATTTCCAAAAGAACTGGGGTAAAGCTTGGCCAAACTCCAAGATTGGGGAGTGCAAAGGAGGCCTGTGTCTCTGGGGAAGCAAAAGTAGGGGTCTCAGCAAGGGCCTGAGGTGGAGGGGACACATTTGGCAGGCCCAGGTGACATCCCCTCTCTCACCCACCAAAACCAACCAGCATTAAATGACCCCACCTCACCTCTACCTCAGGTAGGAGGCAAAAGTGCAGGAGCAGAGGGAGGAGCAGCTGGGCATGCAGGAAACCATCCTGCAGCCTGAAAAGCAGCAGAAAGGTGAACTGGGGTACTGGGAGAGCAGCCAGGAACCATCAGGCTGTTCCCTTCCACGAGGGCACAGCAGCTGGAAGGGGAGCAGGAACCTGCCACCACCTGCCCTTCTGGGAGGTTGGATGAGCTGCTGGAAGGGGAGCAGGGGCTGAGGGACCCAGGGCTGCTGGAAGAAAAGAAGGGGCTGGAAGGGGAACAGGGGCTGGAGAACTCAGGTGAGCTGCTGGAAGGGAAGAAGGGGCTGGAGAACCCTCCAGGTGAGCTGGGAATCCAGGCACAGGAGACAGGAGAGTCCTTTTGAGCTGATGCAGGGGGAGGGCAGCAGAGAGCTGCAGCGTGTCCTGAATCAGGAGAATGCTCCCAAGGACCAGGAGGGACCAGGAAGGTTGGTTGGGAGGCAGGAGCTGGGCTGAGGCTCCTCCTCCCTGGAGGGTTGTTTTCAGGAGGCCAGGGCACTTTGAGGGCTGTTGCCTTCAGAGATCGTCAGGCAAAGACTGGGGAGAGAAGCTGGCAGGTAGATCCTGCAAGGAATCTCCTCCTGCCACGGCCCTGCCTCCATCCCTCTGCTCTGGATCCTGACCCTCAGCCCTGCTGGACCAT